TCCAACATCCTGCCTCAATATTGTTTTCAAGTATAAACTTCTTATTCGAGAAGCCTGTCTCTCTCCAGTGACCATCCAGCAAGACATCTCTGGCATATAGAAAAAGCTACTAATCTCAGTTCCCAAAAAGCCAAATTATTTGTTTGGTGCACCAGCAGGCAGTTGAGTGTACTTACGTAGGAATGCAGCTGCAGCAGCTCCCACCGCCAAGTAGACAAACTTTAGAGCCACCTGAGAATGTTGAATTGGTGAAATTATATGTGATTTAGCCTTGTTCATTACAATTTCTACTAAGTTAGAAGAACCAGAGAAGCAAAATAGATCTTAAAACAGAAGTAAGCTCACCGTTCTGACAGAACCGGATACAACAATGTATTGAGTAGAATTTTGTTCTTTACTATTGCTGCTGTTGCCTAGATGACTTAATTTCTATAAAGATGTTGCATTAACAGAGATAACTATCTACCAGTTTATAGTCACAGAATATTTACCTTGGAAACTGCATCAACCACGTCTTTATTATTCCCACTTCCTCCAAAGGAGTTGATCACATCTCCAAAGATTATGGTCATTAGAGGCATACAGACCCCATTTCCAATAGCGCTGATTGTACCAATAGACATTAACAGGTAATCTAAGGAATCAGCAAAGGAGAAAAGCTTGTAATATGGCACTGTTTTGGTGCCATCCTCCTTGCTCTTGCTTGTATCTTGGGGGTTGTTTTGAGAGTCCTCCACTACTGCTGAGTGGCCGTTCGATGCTGTCGTTCCCTGCTCCTTGATTACATTTCCATCCGCAGGATTTTCCTCAGCCATGTTATTCACAGCAATAGTAAAGCTGCTATATTTTACGACAAGCACCTCAGAGAAGTAAGTTGCTACTATATCTGATAGAGAACTAGATCAGAGCTGCAAGACAAAACATTTATGGTTTGGATCAGGAACTAGATTTTTTTTTTTTTTTTTTTTTTTTTTTTTTTTTTTTGGGGGAACTAGATTGACAACTGATTCTAATTGAATATGGAGTTGATTATTCGGCCAAACTTAAAAAATCCATTTGTTCCTATAATCTTCTTTTTGTGCGTGTGAACATTAGAAAACCCGTTACTGAAGCAAGTGGTACAGAATATGGACATGTTGACTCCAGTAGATGAAAATAGAAAATAAGGGTTAAGAACACAGACAGGAAAAGGAAACAAAGCAAGAAAAGAACAAGTAATAACAAAAATACTACACCCAAACCAAACATTAAGAAGCCTCACACAGCAGGCATGAAATGCAGGCAGTGGGAATGCTGAGAACAAAACTTCACAAACACAATTTGAAACTAACTAAAACGAAACTAGGAATCAAACAAAGAAGAAAAGAGAAAGAAACCATGTGGGCAGCTAATGCATGCTCTAAAGGTGAGAAATTAAATAGAAGAGACATAACCACAACTGAGATACAACTTCAAAAAGTGTTGCAGGAAACATTAATATCACCAAAAGATGAAGATACTCACTGAGAGGGAAACAAGTTTACAAACTTTCAGGAAATGGGTTGATGAAACTGTTGTCCTTCCCCCGAAAGCATTGCTTTATAAGGCTGGACATCAGCCTACAGCCTACCAACTAGAAACATAGTGTAGATACAAGACTAGTCAAACGTTCAAACTATCCAGACTTTTAAAACTAAATTGAAAGACGTAAAATTCTGGTCCTCTGCTTCTCTTCTTGGTGGCTTTTGTTAGGCAGGAAATCAAATGGGTTGCTTTGACATTAAGTTAAAGTTGAATTTGCAAAGGACCTGTGTTAGTGGTTTGGAGTATTTACTCTTTCAAGCAAAGTTTTGGGTTCGAGTCCTAATATCCTTGTAATATGTGTTAATTTAGTATACTATCGCCCCTCTTAATAGAAAAAATGCTCAAACTAAATATATAGATAACTCGGCAGTGATATTATATTATAATGTGAACATCAAACTCAAAATTATTAAATTCTGAATCCAAGATTTCCATTTCTAAAGTAGAATAATAAATCTTAATATGAGAGTGAAGTGAGCATATGTGGTTTGATTCCTTCCCATTTTTCTTTTTCCTTTTAAAAAAATTAAAATTAAGAGTGATGCGCAATCTTGACCCAAAAACAACAAAGAGTGATGCGCAAGTTTGTGCAATAGAAAGAACAATTCGAGCGCTGCAATTTGGGTGGTCCAATATGACTTTTGGAGGTTGACTATATTTTTATTATATCATGTGTAACTTGGAGTGTTGGGCACGTATATCTGACATCAGACATGACAAGTCAATCCTCTCGATTGCTTATCATTGAACTTCTTGGAAGTTTGTTGGGATATTGGTCTAATTTTTGCTTATCATTTTCTAGGAAGAAGAGATGAGCTTGTATTTGGTAGAAAGTAGAAACAGAGAAAATAATGACAAGGTGATTATAACATTGTTAAGGATGTTTATGACTAATAATAGATTAACGGGTAATTAGTCTAATATGTTAATGCAAACAGTCACTGCCTGATTGGTTCGGTTTGCAAAGGTGGCACTTTGCTCCCTCATGTTTGCTTGGAATCCCTAGATGGTCAAAGGCTAAATAATCCTTGTGTTTTTTTTTTCTTTTCTCCCAAGGAACAAATGGACTTACCTTCAAATCCCCAAGAAACAGAAATGATCTTTGTAGACATCCATGTTGACCAAAGGATGTTTATTCAAATTTTGTTACTTGGAAAATACCTGGAAATAGCACGAAAAGTAAGGGGACCCATCACCCGTGTTCTTTGCTTTACTAGATTCTTAAGGGAGTTTCAAATTAAAGTAAGCTTAACGATCATTATTGGAACAAGGTTGAGTTTAAGTATATGTGATGGGCCACAAGTGACTTGAGCAAGATATGTGATGGGCCAAATAAGAATAAAAGGAAGATATGTGATGGGACTATTATTCATTTGCACAAAAGGCTTCATTTATGGTTACATAACGTGAGCATGGGTTATTCATTGGCCATTGATTTACTTCCGGTCCATTAGAAAATGGGTAATTTGATAAAATTACGAGAGTTTTGTTATTTCCACCTACTATTTTATTTTCTTCACTCACCTTATGTTTTCACATTCCACTCAATTTTTACCCACTATCATTCCTAAAATGCCCCCAATATTTTGATCAAATTGACACTAGTCTCATAGTCCGATCCATTTGAAAATGGGCAATTTGATGAAATCATAAGAGTGCTCCTATTTCTATGTGATGTATAACTAAACTATTGCACCTCTTAATTTTCTCACTAATATGTAGGGATGGCAACATGCCGGTTCAGAGACTGGTATCACAATACCATCTCCGCACCCGTCCCTGCCCTAATTCCCGATAAGAAATTTCGGGGAATCCCCGTCCCCATCCTCGTCGGTGGGTTGTCTCCCAAACCCACCCCGAATCCCCATTTTTTATTTATAAAAATATACTACACTTAATTTTGACCAAAAAATAAACTCATTTATATTCAATTAAACCATAAAAATTCAACTTAACTACTTAAAATCATCAAAATAATTTGACAAACTATCATATATTCCACAGTAAAAACTAAATATTTTGTCGCAAAATTCTTATTTTACCTCTAAAATTAACAACAACAAAACACATTAAAAACCTACGAAAATAAAAGATAAAAAAAACAGAAAAACCTAACTATAGCACCAGCACCGTAGTTTCATCAGACAATATGAAATGCGAGGTTCTAATAACAAATCAGGGAGAACACATAAACAAACAATTTCCATATGTTTCTTGGTCAACCAAGAGAATCATGAATTGTTTCCTATTGGTTTATTGAAATATATATTATATATTCTTTAATTAAAAAAATTTATATCACTAATCGAGCCGGTTCAGGGATAGGGATAACGATACCATCACGGCCCATCTCCAACTGGGAATTTTTAAAATTCGGGGATCTCCTTACCCGCCCCCGATTTTCCCCGAAATCTTCCCCCATTATGGTCATAGTTATTATAGAATTTTATAAAAGCTCACTTATTTTTTGATACAAACGAAATTAATGGTGGAGAAATCGAATATGAAACCTCAGATACAAGAATAACGAAAGCTCATTCATTTTAGATAAACGGCAACATGACATAAATAATTTTTTGAAAAGGTAGACATGTTTGCATAATTTTAATAAGGTTAAGAAAGTTATGGTTAAATCTAAGAAAATAAAGTTGACCCGAGATCAATTTGTCCCAAAAAAAATTGGGAAAATGTAACAAATGTCCAAAGGCCTTTTTTAGATCGTTTACCGTCCAAAACAAAACTGAAAAGCGCTTGACCTTATCATCATTACCATGGTTGCAAAGACCGATAGACCAAACTCCAAAGAGAGCAGCAGTCACAGCAGCCGCGCGACAAACCAATCAATCTCATCCACGAAAACAGAAAAGCAAACCTTCACTTTCAGTAGTGCCTTTCCTGCCGTTGAATGAGACTGAACCAAAAACTCTCCTCAGGTATTTTGAGACCCCACTCTTCTTCTTCTACTTCTGCTTCTTCTCTCGCGCTCTGCAAACACCCAACATTCAGCTTCAAAGAGGGAGGAGAGAGAGAGAGATAGAGATGTATACAACTGAGGCATTGGGGAATTTCTCAGTGTTTAGAGAGACTTCCATTTCAATGGCGGCCACCAACTATCTCAGACGTCAAGTTCCCTGACATGGATTTGTATTTTGCAGGCTTGGGAAGGGAGAGCTTATGATTACTGCATGGAGAATTTGAAGAAAGTGGGTTTCCCTGTTTTCGATCTTGTGTTTGACCCTGATTTGGTAGCATCTATAAGCAAGTTAACCATCCTTTCTCTTAGTCAATTAGTTGCTAACTTATTACATATTGAAATAAAATTGAGATTACTGATAAAGGGGGAAGAGAAATTGATTGAGATTCATTGTGATCATCCCCAATGAAATTTCAAGAAACTCAGATTATGATTACCCTGCCTTCCCCCAAATTCGTTCTGATTCTGAGTGGACAGAAAGTTTGTGTTTTTTTTATCCTCACGATCCCATGTCCCCTGGGTATTTTCTCAAACTTCATATGCATTTCTTTGTTTCAATCTGGGTATGAACCGTGTCAAAATAGATAGTATCAATTGCATATAACTAGCAGTAGGCAAATGGAGATTTTTGGCACATCGAAGCTATGGAGGAGATTACCAACGCTGGGCATGGAGGAAGGGAGATGCTGAATTTGGGGTACTGTGCAATTCATAATTATTATATCAAAATAATAATAATCTGAATAAGGTACACTGAAGCTTTTTTTTTTTGTTAGTCTCACAGTTAAAACATTAGCAATAAGACTTCCTGTGAAAGTTCCTGTCATCAGATTTATTACTCGGGTAATTTACCTCTCTGAATAAAATTACATTACATACTTTGATACCGATCAAAGTTTCATGCTTTCCTTTCTCTGCAATGACTCCATTTTTCACCACTGCGATTACATCTGCACCCTGTATTGTGGATAACCGATGGGCAACCACGATTGTGGTTCGATCCACCATGATTCGGTCCAATGCATCTTGAACCACTCGTTCCGATTCAGCATCAAGAGCACTTGTGGCTTCATCTAGTAGTAGTATCTTTGGTGCCTTCATTATAGCTCGTGCAATTGCCACCCTTTGCTTCTGTCCACCAGACAATTGAATCCCCCGCTCTCCTACTATTGTATCATAACCCTGCATTGTTTTTCCAAACTTAACATGGTTAATCTTCAACGTTCTGAATAAAATTTTGTGAATTTTCACAAACTAGTCCTTCTCGTTTATGCAGCACCATGACAATGGACTATAGTATTTGTGGCCAAAAGAAATTGACAAGCTTGTTAATTTTGTAGTGCCTACCTGTTGTAAACTACTGATGAACTTGTGAGCATTTGCCAATTCTGCAGCAGCTATAATTTCAGCCTCTGTTGCATTCCCTTCCTTTCCATATGCAATGTTGGCTCTGATAGTGTCATTAAACAATACAGGCTCCTGGCTCACCAGTCCCATTTGCTGTCTCAACCACTTGAGCTGTAGCTTTTGGATTTCAACTCCATCTAATGTAATGTGACCTGAATCAGGGTCATAAAATCTCTGCAACAATGAGACGACAGTCGATTTCCCACTTCCACTTTCTCCAACCAAAGCAACTGTCTGAATAACATAATACAAATTTGTAAATCCCAGAAACTTGAATTAGACTACGAGGTTCAAATTTTGTGCTTTGTTTTAAATGAGTAAAAGAACAAAACATGTTACTAACTTACCTTGCCATGATGAATGGTCAGGCAAAGATCCTGGAAGACTGGCACGTCAGGTCTAGTTGGATACTTGAAACTGACATGGCAAAGTTCAATTTCTCCCTTCACATTTTCTATAGTTGTTCCAGATTCATCACTAGAGTCTATTTTTGATTTCCGGTCAAGAATGGCAAATATGGAAGCAGCAGAGCTCTTTACTTTACCAAGATTAGGGGCTAGGGAACCTGACTGAGACACTCCAACAGCTGTCATCGTGAGAGCAAAGAAAACCTGCAAACCAGGGAAATGTT